CCCACCACCTCAAGCTCCAAAACCACCTGGAACTGTACCCCCTCCACCACCAAGCTCAAAAATCTCAAATGCACCAGCACCACCTCCAGTATTGGGAAGGGGAAGAGCAGCAACCGGATCAGCAAAAGGTCGTGGCATGGGATTGGCGCTTCAAAGTAACCCCCCAAAGAAAGCTTCATTAAAGCCTTTGCACTGGGTGAAAGTTACACGGGCAATGCAAGGAAGTCTCTGGGCGGATGCCCAAAATCAAGGGAATCAGGCTAGGTAACTGTTATGCTGCCAATATTTTTGCATTTAATTCAGCCGTTGATGATTTTACATCATTGAAACCACTAGGCATAAAATTCAACATCCGTTGTTTATGAACTACTCCCTCCATTCACAAATAGATGTTTTGGATATTTCATCTATATCTATATCTATACCAATATAAAAAGACCCAAAGGGGCAGATCCAACAGATCCCGTCCGTCAAATCAGGTCAATCCAACGACTCAGGCTGCTCCAATGGTGAGCGCTCAACATGTTTAGTGTGCAGTTAATATCATACCAAATATTAATGCCAATGCTAATCACATAATTAATACGCAAATAATATCCTACCTAATATTTATGTGTAATTAATATATTACCTAATATCAACGTGCATTGCACGCACACATTTACTAGTATGTGTCTACATCTGATTCAGAAAAAAGTTAGAACATCTTATATTTGTGAATGGAGGGAGTATATATCATGCTACAGTCGCAAAAACAATCCAAATAAATAGGAAGCTGGTAGCTTCCCCCCTTTTTGGGAAGAGGTTGAGTAGTAGGCCCACATGAGGCTGGTAGCTTCCCTAAAGAAAATACATGGGTCTGGCATTCTATGTCCTTGTTTAACATGTGGGAAATCTCTGTATTGAGACTGTATTTATTCATGCTGTCGAGCACTATTTTGCAGGGCTCCTGATATTGATATGTCCGAATTAGAGACCTTGTTCTCCACTGCTGTTGCAACCAATGCAAGTGAAAAAGGAGGAACGAAGCGTGGCTCAGCTATTAGCAAGCCAGAAATTGTTCACCTGGTATGGAAACTTACACTCTTAATGCACTTATTTTCTTTAGGGAACTTGAATTTTCTTGAACTTTCATTCTTGTGCTTCTACCTTAAGCACATTAATCCTTTCATACTTGTTACCTTAAACTTGTTATTTGATTTTTTTCGTGGTATGTTGAATTATCAAGCCCTGAATCTCAGGTTTTTCAAACCATTCTTGATTAAAACTGTTTCATGGTAATACGATATGCATGACTACTGCTCTTTCTTAAGTGAATCTATATTTTATTTCCTTGCAAGTGCTCAACTGATTGACACCAACTTATTTTGATGTATTTTCCATTTAAAGTATGAAATTATGGTTTTCATATGTATGCTACTTCCTTCTGCAATAGGTGTCCTTTTGAAGGAACTTTTGAATAGTTTTCTCTCTCGCATTCTTGTTCCATTTATCATTCCACACCAAACTTCTGTTTTCTTGACATCTTAAGTTATTTGCAATCAACAGCATTATGTTCTAGCATGAGGAGTTAGAGAAATTTTGTTGATTCCATTAGGCCATGGACTAATTGTTCTGCTAGTTTCATTACAGGTTGATATGAGAAGAGCAAATAATTGTGAGATCATGCTTACCAAAATCAAAATGCCTCTTCCTGATATGATTGTGAGTATCCTTTGTGGGTTATTACTTACCCTCTCTACTCTTTGACCAAAAAAAGATGCACATGATTTCTCCCGTGGAATAGTGACATCTCAGAGAATTTTGTGCTGTGTTGATGATGTAATTATTTATACTCCCCCCGTTCCATAATGTAGAGTGCATATGGATTTTTTCGGAAGCCAAAATTTACAAACTTTGACGGTTTGACCAAGTTTGTAGAGAAAATTATGTACATTTAGAATATGCAATGCATATTATTATATTCATCATGAGATATATTGTCATCTTGTATATGTTTGGTATTATAGATATAGATAATTTTCTCTATAAACTTGGTCAAAGTTTTTTAAGTTTGACTTTTGAAAAAAATTCTATATGCACTACATTGTTGAGCTGTGGGAGTACTATCCTGAATATCTGAAGCTTGTATTCATATTACTTTTCCTTTTCCTGTTTCTATTCTTTTACAACTTTTGATGGAGCTAATACCTTTGTTGACAACCTTCATCTGCATTTTTTTTGGTATTTGCTTAAGTGTAAACTTGTATGCTATCATACATTAATAGATTCGGCGATGTACATGAATCTTGCTAACATCTTCCATACACTATGCATGAAAGTTTCTGCCATCACAAAATTATTACTATAAGTCCTAGGTTTTTCTTGTTTAATTTACACTCATACAGTGGTCTAACATTAGGCTGCGTAAGCCTACATGGCACTGGGAAACTTAAATGCCTTTCAGACTCTCTTTTGGTAATGTAAAACCACTGTATATGGTTATCATACATGCAAGTTACTGCTGAGTTGTGTTGCTTTCTCGATCCACGTTTTTTATCTTCTAATTAATTTATCACACTGACATTATTAATCTGCTCAAATGGTGCTGTTAACAAATGTCTATTAGCCTGATACTTTTTAGTGTTCCTATGTAATTTTCTCTGAAATGGTTGTATCTTGCAGAGCGCGATCTTGGCTTTGGATACGTCTGTTCTTGATAATGACCAAGTGGAGAATCTCATTAAGTTTTGCCCTACAAACGAAGAAATCGAGATGTTGAAGGTGCTTCTGCTTACTACTATCTTTTGTTTTTTGCATTTCATGATCTGTAACATATTCCTTATCATTTAGTATCTGATGCTGTTTTGTCTTAATTCACTATCCTTTTCCTCTATGAGCTCAGAACTATAACGGCAACAAAGAAATGCTTGGAAAATGTGAACAGGTTGGTTTAATATTTTGGTTGCATATAGTGTGCCACTTTGAATATATTTATTGAAGCTTTCAACTTTGCCGTAGTTTTTCCTGGAGCTAATGAAAGTTCCTCGCGTCGAGTCCAAACTAAGAGTTTTTGCTTTCAGAATTGCATTCTCAACACAGGTCCGTTGTCTTCGTCCATCAGTTAATTTACTTGGATTATCTCACTTTCTCCATAACTTGCAGTTGTAATGTGATGTCTTGCTCTTTGTCAGGCTGATGAGTTAAGAACTAACTTAACCACCATAAATGATGCAACAAAAGAGGTACAATGTTGTATCATCTCTTTCTTGAGTAAAATTTTAACTTACACGTAGACTGGCTTAATGTTCTATTTTGTGCAGGTGAAAGAGTCTCTGAAGTTACGGCAGATAATGCAGACCATTCTCACATTAGGGAATGCATTGAATCAAGGAACAGCTCGAGGTACCAAATCAGTGTAGAAAATTTGCATGGAATGCCTTTTGTTTAATAGCATCGTCTGATACGGTGTTGTGCTGAACAGGTTCTGCTGTTGGCTTCAGATTAGATAGTCTTCTTAAACTATCGGATACTCGAGCTAGGAACAATAAGATGACACTAATGCACTATTTATGCAAGGTATGCACTCGGCATAAAGTGTTATGCTATGCACACTGGTTTGCATGCTAAGATTCCTCTCAGTCCATCTTCAGCACTGGCCATACCACACAATAATACAATGCTGGTTAGGGTTTAATATCTTACTGCAGAAAACTATGCCACTTCTTATGGACTTACGATACATGTTTTTTTCTATACTCCTATGCAATCTTGTTGTGCTAGTAGCTTAGTAACAGTAATTTACCTGAGCCTTTAAAGTTGGGAATCATGCATCTTGTCATAGTTTGAATATTTTATATAGGAATAAAGTCCACTTTCCAACCTAAACTCAAGCAGAGGTTCATTTTTCAACCCTGAACTCTAAAACCGTTTGAATATCAGCCTCAACTATTGAAATACATGATGTTTTCACGGCAATTGCAGTCATGACTCTGTGGGAGATGTCTGTTTGTTGCATATTAGCTCAGTCTGCTCAAGATTTTCTTTCACGGATCAGCTCTTGGTGTATCAATTACTAATACAGATCAAACAAACAATAATAGGGTGCTCCGAACACCCATTATTAGCCTGTCACCAGGTTGTTGTGTTTCACCCTGATGGCTGGATTCAGTGTCGGTAAATTTACTGGTCGATTGTAAGTTCTAGGAGCATGAACAATCTGATCTTAATTGGGATCGTATCTGATTGGATTAGTTTTTCTCAAGAGCGGTCTCATCTGATGCTTGGTCTGAGCGTAGAACTGGAACTGGCCAGCTGCAGGCACCTCAATACCTATCCTGGATCTTAATCTTGAGCTGCCTTTTGATGATATAACCTATATAAATCACAATCCCTTGGGAAGTGAGGGGTCATTGGTGTAAATGTTATCGATGGCTTCCACAGGAGTTGCTAGTTGGATTGTAAATTTCTGCCAGTTCTCTGCATAGTCATGGTTTTCATGTAAACTCCAAACGGCAGGCTGTTACTGGTCACTGTCCAGGAATCAGCCTCGTTCCGGTATCCCAAATTATGGTGCTGTGCACGTGGGCAATTGTTTATCTAGTATTCTGCAGCTTAATGGAAGATTAGCTATTTTGACTCAGTTTCTAATTGCATGTACCTATGCATATTTTTAATAGTCTGGCAGTTGCTCCTGGGTTCAACGCGGCCTCTCTGCATTGTACTATGCAGGGGTATGGCTTGCCTTGTATAAAATCCTTTCCCAGGCCCCACCTGGTGTGGGAGCTTCTAGCACTGGGTCTGTCCTTTTGCCAGTTGCTTTTGCAAGCTTGTGCAGTTTACCTTATCTTTCTCTATTACATGCTAGCTTCTTGCTGAAAAGTTGCCTGAGCTTCTTGATTTTGACAAAGACTTGATTCATCTGGAAGCAGCTTCGAAGGTACTGTAGTTATCTGTTAATAGCAATTTTGGATGACCATCGAGCTACTCATCAAATATGTTGCTCCACAATTGCATTTGTTAATCACCCCAGATCCAATTGAAGTTGCTTGCTGAAGAAATGCAAGCAATAAACAAAGGTCTTGAGAAGGTCGAGCAGGAATTAGCTGCTTCAGTGAACGATGGAGCAATATCTGTTGGCTTCCGCAAGGTAAGAAATAATTCCCTTTTGTCTATTTTTCAGAGTTGTTGGATGTTGAGCATA